CTGCTGCTGATGAGGATGAGGATGAGGATGAGGATGATGATGATGATGATGATGATGATGATGATGATGATGATGATGATGCTGATGATGATGATGATGTTGATGTCGCTGCTGCTGCTGCTGCTGAGGAGGAGGAGGAGGAGAAGGGATGATGATGATGATGATGATGATGATGAGGATGAGGATGAGGATGATGATGATGATGATGATGATGATGATGATGATGATGATGATGATGATTGATGATGATTGATGATGATGATGATGATGATGATGATGATGATGATGATGATGATGATGATGATGATGATGAATATGATGACGATGATGATGATGATGATGATGATGATTTGATGATGATGATGATGATGATGATGAATGATGATGATGATGCTGATGATGATGATGATGATGATGAGATGATGATGATGATGGATGATGAATGATGATGATGTGATGATGATGATGAATGATGATGCTGATGATGTGATGATGATGATGATGATGATGATGCTGATGATGAATGATGTGATGATGATGATGATGATGTATGATGATGATGATGATGGATGATGAGGAGGAGGAGAGGAGGAGGAGAGGAGGAGGAGAGGAGGAGGGCCGATGTGAGGAAGCGAGTTGGACGAGGGCGACGAGGAGGCCTGGCCCCCCCCCCCCCCCCTCCCTCTCTCCTCCTCCTCCTCCTCCTCCTACTCCTCCTCCTCCTCCTCCACGGGGGTAGTTCTGCGCTTCATCAGTCCGCGCACAGGGTTGCCAGCATTTTCCCGTGGGCCAGATGACGACGACTCGTCGACCCTTCCTGCATCGCGTTATGTCCAGATTTTGAAGGTGAATCAAGCCGTGGCTACGAGGTTGCCCTTCGAAGCCCCGGATGGGGCCAAAGACATCCAGTTTCGTTCCTCGACGACGCCGACGAGAAGTACCGCCATCCAGCTCACCTACATGAGGCGGCGAGTTGGGTGGCGGAAGAGTAATGATGAGGACGAGGGAGGGAGGGAGGGAGAGATGGATGGAGGGAGGGATGGAGTGAGGAGGAGGAGGAGGAGAATGATGATGAGGAGGAGGAGGAGGAGGGGGAGGAGGTGCAGGTGGAGGTGGAGGTGGACGAAGAGGAAGAGGTTGAGGTGTGGAGGAGAACAAGGGGGGCAGGAAGATGAGAGAGGAGAAGGAGCAGGAGAGGGAGGAGGAGAGGGAGGAGGAGAAGTAGGAGGAGGAAAGGAGGAGGATGAGGATGAGGAGGAGGTGGAGGAGGAGGAGGAGGGGGAGGAAGAGGAGGACCAGTGCAAACCCAAGACCCATCAACGATGTTGCAATATACGCTCCCTCCAGGTTCCCTCCTTGTAGGCCCCTGCAAATATTCATTGTCACCGAGGGAAGTGCCCAGTTGGAAACCAACCGATTGAAAATCCTGAGCCGGGCCAGGACACTATTCCTGGGACTTCAACACAGCGAATGTACGTTACTGTTGAGTCTTGACCATCTAGAATCGTGTCAGAAATCCATTCCTGGGACGTCAACACAGCGAATCAACGTAGTTGTTGAGCCCTGACAGTCTTATATCGTGCCAAAACACAATAACTGGGACGACTTCTCGAACATGTTGTAGACTCATAAGACGGATGTGCGCGACGCTGATGCGATGGCCAAATTTGGAAAAGGAGCCGATAGCAACCCGTGAAACTTTTGCAAATTGTAAAGACGAGTGTGCGCGGCGGTAATGCGATATATATATATATATATATATATATATATATATATAATATATATATATATATAGATCAATTGAAAACCACACGCCCTCCACCCGTGAACATCCTTGTTTTCGTAAGACAACTGTGCGTGGCGCTAAGGCGAGAGATACGTTTTGAAAAGGACGCCCCCCATTAGTAAACTCATTGCTTATTTGTACGACGGGTTGTGCGGCGCCTAATGCGAGAGCCAAATGTTGAAAACCACCCGCCCTCCATCTGTGGAGCTCATGCATGTTTCACGAATGTGCGCGGCACTTTGGCGAGATCCACGTTTTGGAAGCGACCCGCCCTCCATCCGTTTTTTTTTTTTTTTTTTTTTTTTTTTTTTTTTTTTTTTTTTTTGTTTGCTGTTTTTTTTGTTTTTTTGTTTTTTTGCAAATGTTCAGTGCCAGGACCATCAATGCCCCCTCCGTAGGCCCCATACACGGGTTCGTTTAACCACTGAAGGAAGCGCCCTGTTCGGAGACAACACTTTGAAAATCCGGACGCGTGCCCAAACGCCATTCTCGGGATGTCAGCGCCACGAATCAATCTGACTGTTGCGTCTCGGCGATCGGGAATCGTGCCAGAATACTACCGCTCATTTGAACTCAGCACCGCGAATCAGCATAGCTGTTCCGCCCTGACGGTCCTGAATCGTTCCGAAACGCCGTTTCTGGTTCGTTAGCCGTGCGACTCCGTGAAGCTCTTGCAATTTTAGAGACGAGTCTGCGCCGCGCCAGCGCGAGAGCCACATTTTGAAAAGCGGGCCACCCTCGACCCGTGAAGCACGTCCACGTTGTTACGACGAGTGTGCGTGGAGGAGGAGGAGGAGGAGGAGGAGGAGGAGGAGGAGGAGGAGGAGGAGGAGGAGGCGAGAGGAGGAGGAGGAGGAGGAGGAGGAGGAGGAGGAGGAGGGGGAGGAGGAGGCGAGAGCTACTTTTTGAAAAAGCGACCCGCCCTCCGTCCGTGGAGCTCCCTGCAAGAGACAAACAAAGTGCGCGGCGCGGGTGCGAGAGCCACGCTTTTGGAGACCGCGCGCCCTCCATCCTCCTCCTCCTCCTCCTCCTCCTCCTCAAGCTCACTGCCAATTTTTCTTGCGAGTGAGCGCGGCGCGGGCGCTTGAAAACCACCCGCCCTCACTCCGTGAAGCTCTTGCCAATTCTTAAGACGAGGGCGCGTGGCGCCAAGGCGAGAGCCACAGTTTGAAGACAACGCGCCCTCAATCCATGAAGCTCGTGCCATTTTTGAAGACGAGTGTGCGCGGCACTAAGGCGAGAGCCATATAGTGAAGTCCTTACGGCCGGTGCCGCCGACCCTGAAGGTTTTGGCCGTCGATGGCGACGGGATGTGTGATCACAGGAAGGAGCTAAAGGACAACGTGACAGGGTAGGCGGAGGAAGTGCGTGAGGAGGAGGAGGAGGAGGAGGAGGAGGAGGAGGAGGGAGAGGTAGGAGGAGGAGGAGAGGAGAGGAGGGGGAGAGGAGGAGGAGAGGAGGAGGAGGGAGGGGAGGAGGGGGAGACAAACGAAAAGGCGATGAGAAGGTGGCAAAAGACGCTCAGAGGAGGAGGAGTGGTATTCTGACCCGGGCCCCCCCCCAGGACCCCCCCAGGACCCCCCCCGGGACCCCTCCCAGGACCCCCCCCGGGCTCCCCCCGGGACCCCCCCCCGGCTGGGGAAGGGAACAAAGGAAAGGGGAAACCTTTCGAGTCAATTTACTTTTCGCAGGAGGAAGAGATGAAGGAGGAGGAGGAGGAGGAGGAGGAGGAGGAGACGAACTAGGAGGAGGAGGAGGAGAAGGTGGGAAACGGAAGGAGGCACGGACGAGAAGAACAACCCATTCCACACGCCGACAGGGTCGGCGGATTTTAGAAGCGACCCGCCCTTCATTTGTGAAGCTGCAAACTGTAAGCGTCAGGATCATTAGTTGCAAGGGAACTCAGGCGAAACGCGGGGCCCACCCTTCCGACTGGCCTCGGTGCGCGACATGGAGGAGTTGCTTATCGGGGAAAGAAATGGAGGAGGAGGAGGAGGAGAAGGAGGAGGAGGAGGAGGAGGAGGAGGAGGAAAAGGAGGAGGAGGAGGAGCAGGCGGATCAGGAACAGGAGGAGGAGGAGGAGGATGGATAGGAGAGGAGGAGGAGGAGGAGGAGGAGGAGGAGGAGGTGGATGAGGAGGAGAAAGAGGAGAAGGAGGAGGAGGCGGAGGTGGTGAGGAAAGAATGGTGGCAGGAGTATGAGAGATGATGATGTTGATGATGATGATGATGATGATGATGATGGTGATGATGGTGACGAAGACGAGGAGGAGGAAAAGGAGCTGGGGAGGAACAAACGGGGGGCAGGAAGAAGAGGAGGAGCAGGATGGTGATGATGATGGATGATGATGACGACGATGATGATGACGATGATGATTGATGATGATGCTGAGTATGATGATGATGATGAGGATGATGATGATGATGATGATCATGATGATGATGATGCTGCTGCTGATGATGATTATGATGATGATGATGATGATGATGATGATGATGATGATGATGATGATGATGCTGCTGCTGCTGTTGATGATGATGATGATGATGGATGATGATGATGATGATGATGATGATGATGATGATGATGATGATGATGATGATGATGATGATGATGATGATGATGATGATGATGATGATGATGATGATGATGATGATGATGATGATATGATATGATGATGATGATGATGATGATGATGATGAGATGATGATGAGGAGGAGGAGGAGGGAGAGGAGGAGGAGAGGAGGAGGAGGAGGAGGAGGAGGAGGAGGAGGAGGAGGAGGAGGAGGACTATGGCCTTCCCCGAGCTTGGATCCTTGATCCGCGATAAACGCGATCCTCGAACTTTGGCCGCCACCCAGCTCTCCTCCGCCCCCGACCAACATCCGCTCAACGTGAGTCCCTGAGCCCCTTCCAGGTCCATCCTGACCAGCTTTTTCTGGTGCGTCCCTGGACGTGGCGACGACAGCATCCAGGAGCCCTCGAAGCACGTCTAAATCGACACCAGCAGGTCGGGTAGGGCTAGGACGGGGATACGTCGTTCCAAAGCGGTCTGGAGCGCTCTCAGAGCGCTCCAGAGCGCTCTGGACTGGCCGCGGCGCCCGATGCATCTTCCAGAACCGCCGGATCCCAGCATCCCCGACTTGTCCCGGTCCGAGTTTGTTCCAGCCCTGATTCCGCCTCAGCAGGGACGACGTCGCGCGCCTCCCTCCCCCCAGGGCTGCCGCCACCCAGCTCGCCTCCGCCCTGGTCCACGGCATCCGCCCTGGGGGCCTGGCGCAGCCGCCCCCGACCTTCCGGCCGGGCGCCGGTCAGCCGCTGCCTCCGCCAGGACCGGCCCGCGTGCGTGCGCGAGCGCGGACGACGAGGAGTGGCGGCGGCGACGGCGACGAAATTCGCGGAGTTAGAACCCGCGGGTTTCGTGGATCGGCCTCCCCTGGCGTGCGGAGCGCTCCAGGGGTCCCCAGCGCCGATCCAAGCAGTCCGCGCGGACCTCCGAGAGTCTAGGTTTCGCAGGCAGCAGTTTGTGTTCCCTTCTTCCTCCCTGGGAGCCACCCCTCGCTGTGAGACGACGGGCAGCGCGTTGCCGACGAGCCCCGTGACGGATGGCAAATCCGGAGCCAGAGCCTTGCGCCCAGCGCCAGTGACCACGAGAGGGTGGACCGTGTGCCAGCACAGGCCGCGTCCTTGCGAGGGATCGCCATCACACGGCTTTGCGTCTGAGCAAGCCCACAGGGCGCCTCGGACCCGTCGGCTGAAGCTTGGGCAGTCGGCCATCACGCCAGCCAGCGCAGACAGAACTTTGCAGAGAGAGGGGGAAGGGAAGGTAGACGGAGAGGCGGAGGCGAGAAGGAGGGACGGGGGAGTATGGAGAGGAAAGGATATAGGATCTAGGAGGGAGGATGGAAGGAGCGATGCTGATGAGGAGGAGGATGTTTCAGAGGATGAGGAGGGATGAAGGCATGACGGGGCAGTCTGGGGTAGGAGGGACGAAGGTGGATACCGAGAACGAAACGATGTTAATGTTGATGGTGACTGTGATGATGACGATGGTGCTGATGCTGACTATGATGTTGAGCAAGAGGACGAGGAGGAGAAGGAGGAGGCGGAGGTGGAGGATCAAAGTACACCCAGGATGCATTCACGAAGCTACAGTACACCCTCCTGTCCCCAGTCCCCTCATAAGTCCCTGCACCCCCGTCCTCTTCACTACACCTTAGGCGATGCTTAAGAAAACTTGAGTTTTCGGCCAGAGTCTCGATCGTTCTTTATACTTCACTGTAAATCCTAAGATTTCGAAAGGAACTCTGGGTATTTATTCGAATTCTGAGACTATCAATTTCTAAACCCATGATTTCTTAAGCATCTCGCAGTTCTGATTCTGATCCATTTTTAATGATTCTTAACCCATTCAAATTCAGCAGACTATTAATTTCTTGACCCATTTTTAATGATTCTGATTTCTCTCGCAGGGTGTACAGAGTCGCCCAGGCGACCCCCTCTGAGAAACCAGCGCCCCATCGGCCTGTCGCTCAGGCGAGAAGCCCGCTTTCGAAGAGGCGCTGCGCGGCGTCCCTTCTGCGGAGGCGTAGGGAGCACGAAGCGGTATGATCGCACCGCTCAGCCAGCAGGCATCCAGCGATGTCTTCGTTCCGAAGAAAGGGGCGGCCCCCCCATCTGTTCAGGGGTTGCACACGCTCATACCTGTGGTCAGGAATTTGAAGGAATTTGAAGGAACGTAGGGAGCACGAAGCGGTATTGTCGCACAGCTCAACCAGCAGGTACTCCAGATTTCGTAATAAAGGGAGGGGGGTCTCATTTCGGGGGGGGTCTCTTCCAGGCTATCTTGGAGGGCCTGGGGGGGTCTGGGGACGATGTTTTGGAGGGTTCTCCCACGGGGGAGGTCTGAAATGGCTTGTCTTGGATGGACCCCTCTCTTTTATTACGAAATCTGGAGTATTCAGCGATATCTTCGTTCCGAAGAAAGGGGCGGCCCTCCCATCTGTTCAGGGGTTGCACACACTCATACCTGTGGTCAGGAATTCAAAGGAATGTGAAATCGATTGTCCATTTTTGAAGAGGAACCGCTCTCCCCCCGTGCAGTGCCCCTTCGTGAAGCCTTGCGCCAGCCGTTGCGCGGGCAGGGACAATCGAGGAGGATAAGGAGCAGCAGGAGAAGGAGGAGGGCCAGGAGCAGGAGCAGGAGCAGGAGCAGGAGCAGGAGCAGGAATCGGAGAAGGACGATGACAAACACAGGGACGAGGACGACGACGACGACGCTCTTCCCCGATAGGCGTGCCAGTGCACGGCTCCTGGCGCCCCCCGGTTCGTCCGCCGGCACCGGGGGCCTCCAGCTGGGGGACCATGCCGGCGTCGCTGGCGGGGCTGTGGGTCTCAATGGGGAGGTCGTCGTCGTCGTTGCCGTCGTCGTCGCCGTCGTCGTCGTCGTCGTCGTTTTGTCGTCGTCGCCGTCGTCGTCGGCCTTCGCCTCTTCATTTCGGCTCAAGCGGTCGCACGGTCCGTCGCCTCCTCCGCTCCTCCTCCACCTCCTCCTCCACCTCCTCCTCCTCCTCCTCCTCCTCCTCCTCCTCCTCCTCCTCCTCCTCCTCCTCCTCCTCCTCCTCCTCCTCCCCCTGCTCCTCTAGGCGGAACGGCGTGGCCCAAAGGGGCTTCCTCCGCCTGCGGCGCTTCTTCGGTGGAGGCTGCGTCCGGGCCGTGATGCCCACGCGGGCGCTGCGGCGCACGGTCGCCACCGGCGCGCTGTCGACCATCTCCGCCACGCTGCCCGCGCGCACGGGGAAGGCCGAGCCAGCGGCTGCCGAAGTGCTTGCCGAGGGCGCTCTTGGAGTGCAGCGGCGGGCCAGGTCGCCCGCCGCTGCGGCGGCTCGGGCGGCACGGCGGAAGCAGCGGCGCCAGCGCCTGGCGGCGCCAGCGGGCAGGCCGTGCCGGAGCGGTCGCTTCTGTTGGGCGGGACGGCGCGTCCACAGCCGCGGCCCCGATGCTGGCAGAGGCGGCCGCCGGCGCCGCGCGGACGTTCGCTATGGAGCGGCTGGAGCTGCGGGCGGGGGCGGCCGCGGATGCCGACACGGCGGGGAGTCGGAGGCGTCGGGACCTGGAGTCAGACGAGCGCTCCGATGCGCCGACGCGCCGACGCGCCGACGCGCCGACGCGCTGACGCGCTGACGCGATGACGCGCCGACGCGCTGACGCATCGACGCGCTGACGCGCCGACGCGCCGACGGATATGTCCCTCTACAGGAGGAATTTTCAAAAATAATCAAACAATAGTATGGAGACGTTTTTTTTTCTCTCCTCAATCCGCATGTAGGGGCACATGCCCGACCTAACGCTGACGCGCCCGCGCGCTGGCGCGCTGACGCGCCGTTCGCAGCGGAGGCGGCGGCCCTGGCCCGCTGCCGGGGCTGCGCGGGCTGCGGTGCCCGCTGCGCCGCGTGGCGCCCGCGGCGCCACGCAGGCAGAGCGTTGGGCAGAGCCGAGGCTGCTGCAGCAGCGGCCTGGGGTCCCCGCTGCGGGCGGCTTGGCTAAGGCGGGAGTGTCCGTCTACAGGAGGTGTATTCGAAAATAGAAGAACAAGTAGGCTGGGGACGATTTTTCGGTTGTTTTTGGCTATATCTGAGCACGTTTTTGTTTGTTTGTTTCCTTGTGTTTGTTTTGATTATTCGTCCACAATCCGCCTGTAGGGGGACTTGCCCGACCTAAGGCTTGGCAGTGCCTGCTGGCCCTGCCCAGGCGGAGCTGCTCGCCCCGGATCTGGAAGATCGAGCTGCGTAATTACGGCAAGGCTGCGGACGGAGATCAACATCAGTTCCTCTCCATGTGAGCAGGATTCGCTGTCGGCGTCGCCGCGGATTTTGCCCATTTGAGACAGGCCGCCTGCGCAAAGAGCGGCCGCTGTCGGTTTTAGACAACATTTGCTGTTGGGCATCGTACCTAGTTTCTCCGTGTCCATTTCTCGGCGGCGAGCGACGGGGGGGAAGTGAGAAGGGGAAGGCCTTCACAGAAGGCTCGGAAGTCACCCAGCCTTCTGAGAAGTCTCTTCAGCCTTCCCAGAAGACACAGAAAACCTCCCAGAAGGCCGCAGGGCTTCTGAGAAGCCCCGCCGCTTTTTTCGAAGACCTTCTCCTTCTCACTTCCCCCCCTCGCTCACCGCCGAAGTGGGCATGTTCGCGCGGGGGCGCTGGGATTACTCGGCACGGAGATACACACATGAAGCGAGGGCCGCGCCCTGCGCTACACGTAATTGCATATGGGCTGGGCCCTTCGCTGGCTGATCGTTTGCTTAACCTGGAGAAGCAATTAAGAACCCCCCCCTCTCCGGCGAAAGTCTAACGCACCCGGCACCCCAGAAACGTTACCCTGGCACCTCGCACCTTTATGTGAATGCAGACGAGTCTGCTTGCCGAAACAAGCACACTGCCTGAGACTATCTCGCAGTATTTTGGCTCCTATTCGCGGCCCGCGTTCTCGTTCTCTGCTGGCCCGCGGCCCATCCTGCCGCCGTGCCTGGGTCGTGGGGCAACGTCTGCTCGGATCGGGCCAGACTTCGCCGCCGCCGAAGCGCGGGCCGCGGAGTCTCCTGCGCGCGCGTGTCGCACGGTACGCCGCCCCCGGCCGCCGCGGCCTCCGAGAGAGCCGGGGCGCGGGCCCCTCGCCCTCTCCGGTGCAGAGGCGCTCCGCTCGAGGGCCTGTCGCCTCCTCCTCCGCCTCTGGGCGCGCGGGTTCCTCCTGGGACTCGTGGGGGTCGTGGTCGTCGCTCGGGCGCGCCTGCATGGACCCGCCCGGAACCTGGTCCTCCTCCGCCCTCCCTCCTGTCTCCCCCCCCCCTCGCCCTTTGCCTCCTCCTTTCTCCCTCGTCCCTTCTCCTGGTGGCTCTCGATGGGGAGGCCGTCGTCGCCGTCGTCGCTGTCGTGGTCGTCGTCGTCCTCTTCTTCCTCCTCTCTTCTCCTCCAGCCTGGATTTGATCGGATCCGCAGCGGGCATGGGGGTGAGGAGGGGGTGATAGCCAGCCATGGGTCCCTCCGTGAAGGGATGGTAGCCAGCCATGCCAGTCCTCCGCTCTACGTTTCACGGCACCGCTGCTTCCATTACCCTCCGCTTTAGGTTGCTTCTCTTCTCTTCTCTTTCCCGGTGGACTGGGCTCTTTTCTGGCAAACTGGGTGGTTCGCACTTCAGTTTCGCCTCGGGAAGAGTCCA